ACACAATGCATGACTGAGTTAACGAGACGCTACTCATTAGATGGTGCGGTGATCATGTCTGTGACCGATCTTATTAGAGACACGCTAACATCTCCGACACCGCGCAGAAATGCGCCAGAAAGTAAAGTAAATCACTACATGAACATATTTTGCAACTGGAAAAATGCAACTATGCATCAGTGATGATTTGGGTCTGTCACAACCTAGTGATCACACAAACAATTACAGCACTTTCAGAACCTTACTGTGTTCACTGTTCATTTCCTATCAAATGTGTTATACGTATGACAGCATGGTAAATAAAGAACATATATACATATATAATGTGTGTGTGTGTGTGTGTGTGTGAGAGAGAGAGAGAGAGTACAGTAAAACAATTACTCCTGTAATTTCAAAGTGAAGGCTTATAATCGACCCTATTCTTAAAAGCGCTCTTTTAGTCCTTCTTAGACAACCAACCAATCACATTCTTCCAAAGACCGTGTCATAGCTAGCCTCCTCACTAAGATAAACGTTTTGTCTTTTCCTCGCTCAGAGTTGCTCTCAGATTGGTCCTGAATCACTTTTAAGCTAAATCCTCTGAGAGGATTCTTAGAATCTTTAAGAATACGGGCCCAGGATCTTACAGGATCCCAAACCCTGCCGACCAATCACAGCACAGCACAGTCCATCAGGCAGCCAATCACAGCAGACAGAAAACAATGTGACATGCAACATTGATAATATTCAGAAATGATTCTCGAGCAGCAGAGCAGCATATTATACTGATTTCTGAAGATCATGTGACACTGAAGACTGGAGGAATGATGCTGAAAATACAGCTTTGATCACAGAAATAAATTACATTTTAATAGATATTCACACAGAAAACAGCTGTTTTACATTCTAATAATATTTCACGATTTTTCGAAAGAATAACGAGAGAAACGTTACATCAGTGAGACGAAAGAACTTCACATGGAACTTGTTGGGTCTTTCCCAAAAAGACTCATGGCTGTATTCGATCAAAAGGGTGCTTCTACTAAATACTGAGCAAAGGGTCTGAATACTTAGGACCATGTGATATTTCAGTTTTTCTTTTTTAATAAATCTGCAAAAATGTCAACAATTCTGTGTTTTTCTGTCAATATGGGGTGCTGTGTGTACATTAATGAGGAAAAAAAATTAACTTAAATGATTTTAGCAAATGGCTGCAATATAACAAAGAGTGAAAAATTTAAGGGGGTCTGAATACTTTCCGTACCCACTGTATATATATTTACTTGAAAAGGGTCATAATGCAAAGATGAATTAAGTACATTAATAAACATGAACCCAGAACATTTCTGTAAACAAACTCATTTTTGCCATTACATGCAACTGAATGAATGATGTTTGCGGCTCACGTTAGACGGGACGTTGTAAACTCCATCCGGGTCACTTGTTCCCATCAGCGGGATCCTACAGCGGAGCAGAATCTCCACAGCAACAAACACCTGGGCCCCGCATTCATGAAAAATCTCAGTGCTAAGAGTTGCTCCTAGGAACAAAATTCTTAGAAATGTGGGCGTTTCCAAATTACATTTTAATAGATATTCACACAGAAAACAGCTGTTTTACATTCTAATAATATTTCACGATTTTTCGAAAGAATAACGAGAGAAACGTTACATCAGTGAGACGAAAGAACTTCACATGGACTATTTTTGTGGTATACTTATGATGTTTATTGTAGGTTTTGGAGCTCCATATACGACTTTGGAAAGACATGAAAAAAAAACTTTTATTGAAGAGTCAAAAAAGAAAATCCAGATGGTTATTGCACTCTTAAATCAAAATTAAAAATGCATTAAAAGAATAAAACAATAAAAACGATGATGTTAATAATAACTTATTTATTATGGTGTTAAAAGGAAAGACACGTCAAATTATTGAACACTTAAACATTAAAAAGCATACAAATTAATATAAGAATAACAACTTATTATTTGTTGTATGGTCAAAATGAAAAAATAACCACTTAAACCAACATTAAAAATCATAAATATTAACAACAACAATTACTGTTATTACAGTATTAAGAATTTTTATAATAATAATAACATTATATAAGTGTTTTTGTTTATATTCTGTCAAAAAGAAAAAGTACAAATCTGTTCTGGATGGTTCATGAACACAAAAACGTTTAATAAAGTAATAATAATGATATTAACACCAACAAGAGATATTACAGCTGATTATTTCAGCGTCAAAAAGAATTAAAAAAATTAACAATCTGTTTTGCATGGTTATTACCTCCTAAACCAAAAGTTAAAAAGCGTAATTAATAAACAATATAAGCATAATTAATAAATAATAATATTATTAATCATAATAACTTAATATTTAAAAAATATAAAAGTGTTTGTATCAGTGTAAAGCAATAATTAATAAATGTAAAAAGGTTTTAAAGAGATTAACACTTGAGCTGATCTGCTCTGCGTGGTTACTGAACACTTAAAAATAAAACTTTAAATGTAATATAAAATAAAAAGTAATACAATACCTGCTATTTTTATTATTAGACCCTTAACTGTCACTCACATTTTTGAACATAGACTTGAAAGTGCACGGTCCGAACTTAAAGGTTTATAATTCATGAATGCAAAAATGTTGTAACATGATTTTGATGTACAATTTTCACGGTAATGCAACATCTGATTTTAAAATGGTTTTCAAAGGATGAATTTTGAGATTTTAAGTTTTCGATTGATATATAATTTCTGATGATTTCTAAAGTGTGATGTGTGAGAAGACTTTTTGTGACGAAGGTCATGATGTAGATTTTTGAGGTGCACTCTTGTCATAAATTAATCTATTACTTTTCCTACATCTGTTATCTATTAAATAGATCTACCATATGTATTTATGGAAGACGTCAGCATTCATTTCAACATGTATGGTAAAAACTAATCTTTTTAGCCGTGTGTAATAAGCAGGATAATGTACATCCAGCCGGTTGTTATCTCAGAATAAACTCTTCAGCCGGATCACCCTGTCTGGGTTTATTCTGAAATAACAACCGACTGGATGTACATTATCCCTTACATATAATATGGTTATATTTACCATAGTGTAACTGTGGTGTTTGCATTAAGACTATATGATAAATGACATTTCAATCCTATTAGTTTTCTATAAAAACGGTCAAAGTCACCTGGATACTATTGCATTGAATGATTAGCATAATCATATACCATGGTATGTCATGGTATATGAAATGGTCCTTCAAAGAATAACATGGCATGAATGTAAACGCAGCTGCACAGTGCTGTGACCCCGGAAGTAATTCACGTCGTCGTGGTGTTGTACCTCCAGAACCTGAAAAAGTTTTGTGAATTTTGTTGGTTTTTTGTGTCATCGCATTGGAGAGAAAACATTTTTGAAAAAATATATTTTATTCATATTTTATGTAGAGGACGCCAGGACTAAGTTATTTAAAAAATAATAATAATAAATAGACATGAAAAGTCATGTATAAGCTAAAACAATGTTTTATTTTTTCATTCACAAATCAGTTTTTAGGTTTCAGACTATTTTTAGCCACACTTTGTACAAAGATGATTCTCAACTACGTTATGAAAGATATAACAGAATGATTTGATATATATTACTGTATTTTATGGAATATGTGCGTAAATTGGTATTCCCATTATATACAATGTATCTGTAGATTGCATCTAATTTGCGTATTAATGTGTTCTTGGGCAAACCATAATTGAAAAAAGAAGTGTAATAATGGGAGTAATAACTTGGCAACATTTTCATATCTCATATTTCATAGGAATATTGATCTATATTGATCTTTTTCTGAGATGTTTATTCACGACAAACAATCTGTAAATTAGCCAGATTTAAATGATACACTCTAAAAAATGCTGGGTTAAATACAAACCAGTGCTGGGTAAAATAGGGACAAACCCAGCAATTGGGCTGTTTTGACCCAGCGTTTGGGTTAAATGTTTAACCCAACCTTCTGGGTAGTAACCCAACCGCTGGGTCAAAACAACACAATTGCTGGGTTTGTCCCTATTTTACCCAGCACTGGGTTGTATTTAACCCAGCATTTTTTAGAGTGTAGGTACAAGACATTATCATATTTCCCTAAAAGTGCTCAATTTGATCGTTCTGTCAATATCAGTCATATTTAAAGACCAAGGAGAGGGAGTGTTTATGATCAAACCTCCAAACATTTAACATCTCTGAAAAGCCCTAAATGTGCTCTGTACACAAACTGTGGCATGTACACTCTAAAAAATGCTGGGTTAAATACAACCCAGTGCTGGGTAAAATAGGGACAAACCCAGCAATTGGGTTGTTTTGACCCAGCGGTTGGGTTACTACCCAGAAGGTTGGGTTAAACATTTAACCCAAACGCTGGGTCAAAACAGCCCAATTGCTGGGTTTGTCCCTATTTTACCCAGCACTGGGTTGTATTTAACCCAGCATTTTTTAGAGTGTAGGGTCTCAGAGAAATTCACTAACGTATAATAAGGTCAATGCCTGGGTCCCAGGAGGATAATGCGTTCAAAATCTTAATTAATTAAATTCATGACTGCTCAAAAATGTATGAGACCTACATATTTATTTCTAACAAAACAACATTGAAACAACATAAATATTACTCTGAAAAGTTTTCAAACAAAATAAATAAATTTTACTTACAGAAACCTTTTAATTTCAGATGATAAAAAATATCTTTTTTTTAATGGTTATATCTATTTTTAAAAAAAGATATGTATTTTGAATGTCTTAAAGGACTTGCAAAGTTTCGTTCCCTTATGAATAACTATGCTATTTTTTATATGCATTTTTATGTACGTCTTCAAGGTAAACTGACCAAAATGCATTGTTAGAGCATTTTTAAAATCACTAGTGGTTATTTTTGGCAACCTGAATACAACCATAGTAGAACTGATGTTGTATAACAGCACACGCATCCATACACAATAAAACAACATTTATCCTAGAGGGTTTTCAATTATTTTATTAGAAGTCTGCATGCTTGGAAAATATTTTATGGAAACTAAAAGGTAAAATAAAGACCCACGTCTTCATAAAACATACCATTTTCAATGCAAAAACATTCTTCCACGGTGCTTGAAGATAATTTACTGGCTTTTTTATTTATGATTATAACATGATTAGTCAATAATTAGATTAATTTTCAATGCATGAAGTACAAACATCGTTAATGTCAGCATATTTGGAGAGCTGAGAGGATAGACAGGTGTGTAAAATCTTAAAGTGAATGTCCTTTACCTTCTTTATGATAAAATTAGTTGACACGATCAAACTAGGCAATTTTCCAATAAATATTGGCAACAGCAGCATTCTAAAAAAATATGAAGTAATACCAATTAATAACTTCTGAGTGGTTGTGAGATGATCTTGAATAGGACTAGTTACTTATCTGCACTGATAACACTTTTTGTTATTTTTAATAATAATCATACAAATAATAATATATGACGTTAATACCCTAATAATTGTTAATCCCTATTCCTGCTTTAACATGCACTTTGGTCTTTGGATGTAATCACTAATAACTGAATGGAATTAAAAGTATTAATGTTCAGTTTTGAATTTTAAAAGTAAATATTGTGAGGTCAGGGTTGGATTAGATTGTTTCAGGCATGAAATAAATCCTAAATATAAAATCTCACACATAAAATCACACCGTAGTCATAATTCTTCACATGAGCCATACATTTTATGAGTTCTTTCTTTATTTGAGCAATAAAACCGTAAGAAAAAATGTCAGACACTGTGTTAGAAAGTAACTTCACAGAGTAATTCAGACTAGTACAAAGGTAAAGTGAAGGCACTGAAACTTTCAGAAAAAAACTACAATTCAAGTAGTATTAGTGTAAAAACAAAACAGGAAAGTGAAATCTTTACTCAAAATCTAGTGTTATAAACCACTTTTGTATATGTTTAATAAAATTTAAAAGCAGATGAACTCCCAGAATGTGAATAAGCAAACAAAATTAAAAGTGTATGTTTTGTATTAATACATTCAATATAGATTTAAGAAACATTAAATGCTATTGGTTCTTCTTAAGATTTCCAAACAAGGTGATAAAAAATGCTGATTCGTTTAGAACACCATCCACATTTCCAATAATAAATGATTTTCTCACAATGTTATCTTAAAATACTTTGATGGATAATTGTGTTATACAGCATTGCACAGTACAAAATGATTGTTTAGGACAGTGATCTGGAGCTGAAAGAGGTTCTGCTGTAGCTGAAGCTGCTATATCTGGAAGACGAAGAGGGGGATAAACTGTAGTCTACGCTGCCCCTACGGGATCCGCTTCGAGAGCCTGAGGCAGATCCTGGATTCGAGAGGTTGTAAGGGCTGCTGATGCCACGTGAGGAAACCGTGGAGGCGGGAAGCATGCGGACACCTGTGTTCTCCTCAGTCATGCAACCTTTCACAGCCTCCTTGTAGGATATCCTCAGCTTGGTCTTGGGGCAGGTGAGGGTCTTGGGGTGGTGGCGCGTATCCTGGAGCCTCTGAGCTGCTCTCATATCCAGCCAGCCAAGCTGCAAAGCTTCCTCGAGCGAACGTCTGCACCCATGTTCTGGATCGAACAGCCCGCCGGTTAAATACTGGAATTCGAGGAAGCGCTGGCCAGCTTCGTACGGCAGCCATTTTTCTTTGACGGCCTCGGCAGCTGACATCTTACGCTTAGTTTTCACATCTTCGAAACCAATATATGCTTTCTGGGCAGGTTTTATCCTGCTAGCCATGTCGTCATCGAGGACACCAAGTCGGGTTGCTTCTTGAATAGAAATACGGCGACCGTTTTCAGGGCTCACAACCCCACCGGTGCAAGCTTGAGCCTCCAGGAGTCGTTGCGCTGTGATGGAATCGATGATTCCTCGCTTCAGCGCGTCACATACGCTGATCTTCTCCATCTTCTCTGTGTCAAAAATTGCTCCAACTGGATTCTGTTCCTCGATCATTTCCACTAATGGGGTCAGTTTAACTGACATGCTGGAAACATGCTTGGCGGTGTTTGTTGAGATTGGATCTTGAGTGGAGATACTCTCGACTGTTTTAACAGTTTCAGTTTGAATTATCTGGCTTTTCATTGTCGTCTGGGATGTGAAAGATGATGAGCTGACAGAGGAGCTGAGGGGGTTGCTGAGCATCTTCGTCTTGTTGGTGATCATATCTGCAAGTTCTGTAAGGGTGACATTTCCCGAACGATACTTATCAAGGACATCTTGGTCAATCACTCCCTTAGCAAGCAGTTCTTTAAAGTCGTACTGAATGCCTGTTTGCATGTCCATTATAGCTGTACTGGTCGAGCCATCTGGGGCAGTGATTACTGTTTCTTCCCACTCGCACTCTTGCTGAGACAATTCCAAAAAGGTTTCGTAGTCTATGAGTTTCTTCTCGTAGGCTTCACGCACCGTCATCTCTTTATTACTTTCAGGATCAACAATCAGTACACGTCTCTTCCTTGTGGAGTTCTTCTGCTGCATCTTTTTCTTATCGTAAAGGGGCAGAAGCACTAGTCCTGTCTTCTTATCAGCGATGCAACGGCTCTTTAGCTGCAAGTAGGTCAAATTGTCCTCTGTGTTTGGGTCGAAGAAACCCTTTGTGTCATCTCCTTCATCTTTCAGAATCTGGTTCATCTCTTCATCAAAGTAGCCCCTTTGGTACGCCACATCAACATCAATTCGGTGGCTGTTTTTAGGGTCAATGATGCCACCACTTGCAATCTGAGCCTCCAGCAGGCGAATGCCATGACCTTTCTCGATGAGACCACGCTCAATGGCTTCGAAAAGCGAGATCATCTTGTTGGTGCCTGGGTCTTTGTACCCAGTTACTGCTCTCTCGGCAGACAGAAGCTTGTCTTTAAACTCCACACCCACCAGTGCTTTCTTACAGGCCTCCTCGACTGTGTAGTATTCATTGTGGATGGGATCAATCATAAATCCTGAGGCGGCCTGGGCCTCCAGAAGCTCCAAGGTAGTGCCTTGTCGCAGAAGCCCTTCCTTCATGGCCTGGTAGATGGGCAAGGTGCAGTCGTTGGCCTCGTCATAAATCCCAGCAAGGCAGGTTGACCCTCGGAGATAAGCCCGAAGCCTGTGTTCAATATCATGGCTGGTAATCTTGCCCTCTCTCAAATGATCTACATCCGAAGGTTGCAGCAATTTTGCATCCACCAGATCTGATACGTTAACTTCGTGCCGCAGTCCCTGTACAGTTATGGGTTTCTCTGGAGCCGGAAGCAGGAGCAAGCTAGTGCTGAAATCAGCCTTGCATCGCTTCTTGAGGGTAACGTAGCTGGCACGCAGACCATTGTCGGGATCAATATAGCAGTCTGGTCTGGCATTTAGAGCGTGATAAAGATCCTCATCAACAAGGTCACGGTCCATGGCGGTATCTTTGGAAAGATAGACGCTAAGGATGGGATCAAGGATGCCTCCCGCTGCCTCTTGTGCCTGCATGAGACGCAGAGCTGTTTCTCGGTTAACTATTCCTTTCTTCATGGCTTGGCAAACTGGCAAGAGTTTCCCAGTTTTGGGATCCCTGAACCCAACACAGGCAGCCTCTGCAGTCAACAGCTGTTTCTTGTCAGCTTCATCCACAAGTCCATTCAGACAAGCCTCCTCAACAGTCATCCTCACATTAGCTCTGGGATCTATGATGTACCCTGTGGCAGCCTGAGCCTCCAGCAACATGTTTCCACTCTCGTCTGAAATCAATTTTTGTTTTTTGGCCTCGGTGAAGGTCATTTTGCCTTTAGGTCCTGCTGCCAGCCCTGAAATGGCTCCAGTGCCTTTAAGATTGAGCCTGATGTCAACAGATACATCCTTGACAGTCCGCTGGCCCTTCATCAACAGCTCAAATGTCACCTTGTCAATCACACCACAGTCATGCAACTGCTGCGCTGTGACCTTCTTGCGGACACCTTCGAAGACCAGTGAGGAGGGGTCCGTTAGGTCTGTCTGAGTGTATTTGGTAGCGTCATCTGGTTTCCGCTGCAGTCTCAGCAACTCCTTCTGCTGTGATTCTTGAAGCCCCTGCATCTCTGCCCTCTCTCGTTCCAAGTTCTGCAAGAGCAGCCTGTAGCGTTCTTCAGTCTCCTTCAGTTGCGTCCTCAGCCTCTCCATCTCAGCCTTGACAGAATTAAATTGACTCTCCAAGCCAGAGCGCTCTGAGTTGTGCTGTCGAATTTGCTCCTCATGAGTTGCACATTTGGTCTTCCATTGGGTAAAATCCTTCTTGATCCTCTCATTGTCCTCCTGCAGCTGTGATTTGAGTCGCTGTTCTGATTCCAGTGAGAGTTTGATACGGGCTAGTTCATCTTCCAGCTTTTTCAAGCGCATCATATCCTGTTCCATTGCGGCCATTTTCTTGAGGAGGTCATCCCGCTCTTGCTGCAGGCTGCTGCACTGATATTGGGATGTTTGGATCACAGAGGAAGTCTGCAACAAAAGGCCAAAAGAGAAAATTATTGTTTTATCATTTAAAACATACTTTACAGTATTTAAGATGATAATTCTGTATATTTGTATATCTGTATTTTTCATATAGGGCATTGATTTGTTATTGTATGACAATGATTTATCATTCATTGACAATCACAAAGCAGAACTGATTGGTTTTCAAGCTAACTACATGGCTTCTAAAGCAGAGGTAGCCAACCCTGGTCCTGGAGGATTACCTTCCTGCAGGTTTTAGTTCCAACCCCGCTCCAACACACTTTCCGGTTATTTTCAAGTAACCCTGAACACTTTGATTAGCTGGTGTGGGGGTGTTTGATTAGGGTTGGAGCTAAACTCTGCGCCATAGTAGCCCACCAGGAGCAGGGTTTGCTACGCGCTGCACTGATATTGGGATGTTTGGATCACAGAGGAAGTCTGCAACAAAAGGCCAAAAGAGAAAATTATTGTTTTATCATTTAAAACATACTTTACAGTATTTAAGATGATAATTCTGTATATTTGTATATCTGTATTTTTCATATAGGGCATTGATTTGTTATTGTATGACAATGATTTATCATTCATTGACAATCGCAAAGCAGAACTGATTGGTTTTCAAGCTAACTACATGGCTTCTAAAGCAGAGGTAGCCAACCCTGGTCCTGGAGGATTACCTTCCTGCAGGTTTTAGTTCCAACCCCCCGCTCCAACACACTTTCCGGTTATTTTCAAGTAACCCTGAACACTTTGATTAGCTGGTGTGGGGGTGTTTGATTAGGGTTGGAGCTAAACTCTGCGCCATAGTAGCCCACCAGGAGCAGGGTTTGCTAAAGGTGGAAAGCTAAAGCTAAAGCTAAAGCGGATGAGGCTCAACTCCTGGTGGGAAGAGCGAAGTTGCACCAACTCCACATTACAGTTTTCGTTCTTAGTTTTGAGGTCGGCCAACTCTTCCTCCAGTCGCCTGGTCTCGACCTCTAAAGATCTTTTCAGACGTCGCTCCTCCTCAAGAGAGTGTGTGAGACGGTTGATCTCACTACTCTTATCTTGCAGTGTCCGACTGGAGCTCTCCTGTACCTCTCTCGTTTTGTTGTCTGCTTCACGCTTCTGGCTAAGCAACAACTGGACTTGAGATTCCAGTTCATGCCTCTTTCGGCCTTCCTCTGTACTTGCAGCACCAAGTCTCTGAACCTCCTCTTCTAGGTGTTTCCTCTGGGCCTCCTCCTGGCTGAGGGAGAGACGAAGCCTTTGCAGCTGCTCCTTCAACTCCCTAGATTCTCCCTCTAATCTTTCAAACTCCAGACACATGGAAGCAGCATCACTTTCCTTCTGCTGCGAAAGCTTCTGTACGCTGGTCTGAGTTACGAGGATTTGAGACTCGTAGGTCTGTTTCACCTCTCGTATCTCTATGTTGTGCTCCTGCCTTACCTTTGCCAGCTCTGCCTGTGCCTCCTTGACGCGCCGAGCCTCATCTTCCAACTCCCTTCGCAGACGCTCCAACTCTTGGGTCCTGTCAGACACAGTCTTTTCCAGCTCCATCTTGGCCCAGCTGGCCTGCTCCAGTTCCTTGAGTTTCTTGCGCATAGTTTCATCGTGTTCTTCCTGCAAAAACTGGTAGCGCTCTTCCACAACTTTTTTCTTCCTCTCCATATCATCCAACTGGAGTTTGAGGCGACGTACGTCATCTGTTAGCCCTTGAAGGCGGTCGGTTGAAGAGTCCAGGCTGTCCTGTGTGGCCATGCACTTCAAAGTCTCAGTCCTCTTCACTTCTTCCAGAGATAGCAGGTGTGTTTGTGATTCATTCAGCTCCTGTTGATATTTCAGAAGAGTCTCCTGCAAAGATGCATTCGTGGAAGTGTGATCCTTAATGGCATCTCTCAGCTGCTGAAGTTCCTCCTCGAGCAGCTCAATCCTGGTATTCCGTATCTGGAAAAAACACATTTTAAAATTCATTATTTTGTGCTACATAACTATATATTTACCAGGTAAGTCCCTTTAGAATAAAACCTGGCATTATGAAACATTACGCTGACATTTGGCCAAATTGTCTGTTGGCTTGAGTCCTAAAATCATTTAAAGACACAAGAATGGGTAATTTCAAAGCTTTTGAAGTGCGTTCACTGTGTGTTTCACGATTTGGAGGGGAAAAAGTCTAATTGTGCAATTTAAAAAATGCTCAGCTGCACAATTTGGCCAAAAACGTTGTGAGATATATATATTTATAAGACCAGTGCTGGGTAGATTACTTACAAATTGTAGTCCATTACTGAATCCAAATTACATAACAAAAACTGTAGTTAGTAACGTAATCCATTACATGACACATTTTAAATAATATATTCAGACTACTTTTTGATTACTTGTGACCTAAGTCGTTTATCACATTGATTACAATAGGATAATATTGTAGCATATTGATATAAAAATACAAAGAAAATATAAAAAATATATAAAAGAAAACATATTTCATTCATTGTTATTAACAACATAAAGTGCATTAAACATTACATTATGTCAAGGTTTCTTAAACTGGTGTTCATGAAGAAAATGCAGGCGGTTTGTGAGTTTAATGAAAAGCGAATAATTAATTAAATAATTAAAATGTAAAAATAAAATAAATTGTTTTAAAATAACAACCATAAAAAATAAAACACTAAAAAAGTATTTAATTTGTTATAATATGTAATCAATAAAAAGTAACTGTAGTCTGATTACAAGTATTTTAAAATGTAATGTAACTACATGTACTTAATTTTTGTCATCTGAGTACCAGATTACGTGTAATCAGCTGCTACCCAGCACTGAATATGATTATATATATATAAAATAATAATAATAATAAATATTAAACAAAATAAGATATTGCTATTGTAATATTTCACTGTAAAAAAACAAAATCAAGAATTTGAGGGGGAAATTGATAGTATCACTGTAAAATGACACTACTACTGTCTTAATTTCTTAATTTCATCAAAACCGAAGTGTCTTTATATACCTTCAGTTCTGCCATGTTCTTCTGGGAAGCCATAAGAAGTTTGTAGTTATCGTTTGAACGGGTGAGCAATTCTAAGTAGTGTGCATTTAGAGAAGAGACCTGGGGGACAAAGATAAGCACAAAATATATAACGTTATAATAAAGCAACAGTGACGCTGGGAAAGCGTGTGTTTGTAGGTGTACCTCCTCTGAAATGGTGGAAGATGGTGACTGCAGCACAGTCCTCCTGATGGGGATGTTAAGCAAAGTTTCCAGTCCAGCGCTGTAAGTTGCCAACTCAAGCTCATAGTTCTACAGAGACACAGTTCACATTATTAATAACTGCTGTCAGACCAGAAATGTGACCCTGGAGCACAAAAGCAGTGTTAAGTCGCTGGGGTATATTTGTAGAAATAGCCAACAATACACTGTATGGGTCAAAATGATTGATTTTTCTTTTATGCCAAAAATCATTAGGATATTAAGTAAAGATCATGTTCCGTGAAGATATTTTGTACATTTCCTACTGTAAATATATCAAAACTTAATGTTTGATTAGTAATATGCATTGCTAAGGACTTCATTTGGACAACTTTAAAGATGATTTTCTCAATATTTAGATTTTTTTGCACCCTCAGATTCCAGATTTTCAAATAGTTGTATCTCGGCCAAATATTGTCCAATCCTAACAAACCATACACCAATGGAAAGCTTATATATTCAGCTTTCAGGTGATGTATAAATCTCAGTTTCGAAAAATTGACCCTTATGACTGGCTTTGTGGTCCAGGGTCACAAATGAGATTTTAGTAAGGCTGCAAGCTACAGCAGTAGCCTCAAACAATGACTAAATATGTATTTGGTTTTTCACATGGCCACATGTTAATATTTATAATATCTTCATGCCTTATAATTGCATTTAGCAGATCAGAGCTGCATGGGTAATAATGTTGTTTATTTTTTACAATGAAGTTTTGTAATAATTATCTTAACACTTTACAATAAGGTCCCATTAGTTGGCATTAATTAATGCATTAACTAACATTACCTAACAATGAGCAATACATTTATTACAGTATTTAATAATCTTTGTTAATGTCAGCGTTATATTGCGTTGTTGATATCTGAATCTGTTTTTGTTTCCATTTTAATTTTAGTTAAAGTTTTAGGAATTTTGTTGTGTTTTTGTCATTTTTATTATCTTTTATTTATGTCCATATAGTTTTATTATTATTATTATTATTATTTTTCAGTTTTGGTTATTTTAGTACATAAAGTTAATCAATTTAAATGAAAAATGTTGCAACCAGCTAAAATAAAAAAAATTAAATAAAAGTTTTTTTATATTGAATTTTATTTCAGGTAACGTTTATTTTTAACGAAAATAGTAACGAAAATGTTTTTTAATGGTTTTAATTTTAGTTTTAGTTAACTATAACAACCCTGGTTAACGTTAGTTAATGTTAGGTCAATTAAATAGTATTAATAAAGTTAAGAGGTTAAATAATATTAAAAGATACAACTTTTATTTTTAACAATTTTTATTTTTGGGCCTTACACTACAAAATCCTGTAACAGCACATTAAAGGAAACTGTAGGTTGAATACCTTGAAGGCGTTCATGCAGGTTTCTCCGTCTTTCTGCACCGTCTCCAACAGCTCTCGCTTCGCCTTTACATCAGAGTTTAATGCCTGCACACATGAGAAAACAGCATTATAATAAAAGTCTTCAGTTAAATCAAACAAATGGCTGTGCTGTTGTGATTGTTTTCGTGCCTCTCAAATGCATGTTTCCCAGACTCACTTTCTGTTGGTTGAGCAGTTGTGTGTAAACTGTGATGTCCTCCGTCTTGACGGGCTGCTGAGAATCGATCTGTCGCTGGGTTTCGTCGATCCAGCCGCCGAGACGAGAACTAGACTGCATGTATCGCTGCAGATGCGGCAGGTAAGCGTCCAGATCGTCCAGCCTGAGAAAACAGCCTCGTTAGCGCACTCGTTTAGACCTACAGTTGGGAAGCCAGCCGTTCTGTTAGGGACGGAGCGTCTGACCTGTTGTTGATCTGTATCTGGATGCGTTTCCAGCGGTCTGACAGCTGGTTGAAGTGCTCGGCGTACTGGGAGAGGTTGATGATGCACCTGTAACGGCCCTGATCCGCCTGTTCGTTGTACTGTTGGACTTTATTGAAATCGGCCACCAGTGAATTCAGCAAATCCTGCTTCTGCTCCAAATCGCTGCGCATACTCTGCATTTAGAGGATTTACAGCACTTGTTAGGTCATGCTGTAGAGTTAACTGCACACAAAGGACTCTTTTCTTTTTTTTAAATAAAAATTGTATAATTAAATAATTCATAAATAATTAAAATAATAAAATATTATAAAAACATTTTTTTGCTTTGATTTCCAGAAATATCTAAACACCCTTAAAACAACTTAAATAAACTTGAGAAGCAAAAATTGCATAAGATGTTTGCTTTTATTGTAGAGTTGACGTCACTCAAGGGTTGCAGGCAAATGACTTATTCTGTTTTTCTTGATAAAAAAAATAATAATAATTTGAAATGTATAAAATAAAATAAAAAAATAATTATATAATAAATCATTTAAATAATTAAAAGAATATATTATCAGAATTTGTTGCCTTGCTTTCGAGAAATATCCTAAAAACAACATAAATAAACCTGAGAAGCAAAATTGCATGATATTTGATGGTTTAATGTATATTTTTAAGATATTTGCTTTTATTGAAGAGTTAACTGCACTTAAGAGCTGTATGCAAAAGACCCTTTCTGGTTTTCTTGATTTAAAAAAATATATATATATATATAAATAATTATATAATAAATAATTTAAATATTTTTTATTAAAATAAATATTATTATCAGTATTTTTTGCCTTCTGTTCCAGGAACATCCTTAAAACAGCATAAATGTAACTAAAAAGAAAAATTGCATAAGATATTTGATTTTATTGTAGTTAACTGCATTTACAGTAAGGGCTGTATGCTAATAACATGTTCTGGTTTTCTTGATTTAAAAACACTCTCACACACACACACACACACACACACACACACACACACACACATATATATATGAATGAATATATATGAATGTTAATAAAGTTGAGTAATAATCACCTGCAGCACTTTCTGGTATTTCTGCACCTCTTCCGGGTCGAGCGACGCCGTCTCTTTCTCCGTCAGTCGAGCTTCATAAACCTTGACCACATCTTCAGCTTTCAGCAGATCTTTCAGCAGCGATTTCAGTGAATTCAGCCTGAAACACAAAGAACGAGTCAGGAACCCTGAGGACGGCTGTGAATTATTCTGATACTAATTCTAATATTTAATTGGCATATTTTACAACAGCTGATATTTTATCTGATACATCCCATATAATTACATTCATAATGTTTTGAAATGAATTGTTTAATCATATGAATCTGTTTTTATACTGATATCAAACATTTGATATGAAGCAAAAAATATATAATCATTTAATCATTTGTTAAATATTTCATTCATTGGATTATGAAACCTAATTATAGCTTTATAGTATTATAGTAATATATAACAACACAAAAATAATTTAAGTGGGATTACCGTTCATAAGTTTGAGGCCAGTAAGATTTTTTATTTTGAAAGAAAGTAATACTTCTATTCGGCAAGGATGCATTATTTTCAAGTTATATTAAATAAAAAAATTTAATAATAATAATAATAATAATAATAGTATATTCAAATAGAAAACAGTTATTTTAAATTTTTATTTTATTATAATATATATAATATATTATAATAATATACTAATAATATATAATTAAATAAATAATTATATATAAAAATATATTAAAATAGAAAAGTAATTTTAAATTGTAATTATTATAATAATATTATATAAATCTAATAAATAAAAATATATATTCAAATAGAACAGTTATTTGAAATTGCAATTCTAATATTC